CCCATCCCAGGAAGCTCTGGCAGGGCAGGATGGCAGCGGGCCACAACCCAAAAGGTGAGAGCTGGCTGAGGTGGGGGCACCCAGGGGGGCTGTGTTTCCTTCTCCTTCACCTCCCCCGTGGCATCAGCTTCCCCAGCGATCTCAGATCCCAATTCCCTGCTCGGGCTGGGGAAAATCAGCCCTTTGTGGCTTTGGACAGGCAGAGCCCTCCCAAATATCCAGGGCTGAGGGAGGTTCCTACCTGGGAGATGAATGCAGAAAGCAGCACATGGTCACTCTTTTCTCTCTTTTCTGTCTTTTTCTCTTGTTTATCCCACCGGTGGCATTTCCCTGTGCCTGTCCCCCAGCTGTGGACAAGCACATCTCCTTTGGGACAACCCAAGACCGGAAAATGTTCCCCTACTACTATGCCCCAGACAGGCTGGGAATCGAGATGCCAGGGATGCGGGGAAGCCCTTTCCTGGGGCCAGGCTGTTACCTGGGGCCAGAGGTGAGCTGTTCTTTCATCTCGGGGCTCCTTTAGAGAAGGCACAGGAGTGATAGGGCCACACCTGCCCTGCAAACCCACTGCAGGATGTCCCACGTCCACCTGGAAAAAGGAATTATCTCCTTTCCCACCCGAGGCTCTGCAATAGTGAGAAATTAAGGGAATTATTAGGAATAACATTTGCTGCTCAGATAATCCTGCCCAGCAAACGGGGGCCTTTAAAATGTCAATAAATCATTTTGGCTTTCAAACTGCAGACAAACATCCTCAAATCTTCCATAAGCACCCGACCCATGAGCAGCCAGGGGTACGTGATGGGAGCCAGGACGGCCCCGCGCTTCCAGTGGAAGATTCAGGTAAGGAGAGGGCCAAAAAAGAGGGGAAAAGCGGCCAAAATATTCCCCCAGCAAGGCAGTGACGCCCACCTGGATGCTGCTCTGGGAATGTGGGAATTTTTGGCATGAAATGCTCCATCCTGAGGGGTTTTTGTCCCTGCAGACGGTGACGCCTGGCCCTGCTGCGTACCAACCCTTCCTGGGGGAAGAGAGGAGGTGCCAGCCTGCCCGCGTTCCCTTTTCCTCCAGCAGCCCGCGATTCCCAACCAGGCTTCTGGATAAGGATTTGTTCCCTGGGTAATTTAAATCTTTTTCTCACAACGAGCAGGAGTCCTGGCAGGGAGAGATGCACAAATGGGAGATGAGGATGGAGTTCCCTGTAAAGCTTCTGATCTCCAAAAAAAGCTTTTTATCTCCAAAAAGAAGTTTTTTATCTCCAAAAAGCTCACCCTGCTTTAGGCTTTAGCTTAGAACAATGACTGAGACACCACAGCAAGGAATTCCCATGGATCTTTCCCTGCTGGAAACAAAAACTGCTTCAAAGGTCGAGGTTCTTGATGCTGTCTCACATCTTCCTTTCCTGAGGCATTATTGTTGCTATTAAGGAATAATTGCATTTTCGATGACCACAGAGATAAATTCTGGAATCACAAACTCCAAAACCAGCTGCAAAAATTGAGATACCTGCTGCCTGTTTCCTTTAGGCCTGGAAATTACAACATAGATCAGCCTATAGGCAGAAAAGTCACTTGGCCGATGAAGTTTGGGGCTCCAGATTGGGCTGCAGTGCCAGCACTACGCCGGAGGATGGTGAAGATGCAGGTCCAGAAGGTAAGGATGGGGATGAGGGGATATTATTCCTTGCTCAAAGCATCTGAGACAGGAAATCTCCTTTTCACTTTGTATTTTCATTGTTTTGTTTTCCTTTCCTGCTTCTGAGAGAGGAAATTTCTTTTTTATTTCCCATTTCCTCCATGTTTTGTTATCCTTTCCTACCTCAGTGCTTCTGAGAGAAAAAATTTCCTTTTCACTTCCCATTTTCACTGTTCTGTTGTCCTCTGCTGCTCCTGAGAGAGGAAATTTCCTTTTTGCTTCACATTTTGCACGATTTTTTGGTATTTTTCCCTGCTCTGGGCACGATATACAAAGTGATTTCCTGTCAGAAAATGCCTGTTTGCAAAACCCTTCAAACCTTTTATTCAGAAATTTCCTCTGGAAGTTTCCACCCCCAAAGGGAGCAAAGTTGGGCCTCCACTGTCTTGTGTGGCTCTGCTGGAAAGAAAATCTCATTTAAAGCACAGATTTAGGTCTCACCCCTTCATTTTCTGGAGCATTTTCGTTGTTATTAATGAAAAGTTTGGGGTTTTTTTTTTTAGATGACTGTGGATAAAAATTTCCGGAAAAATCAGGGCAGAGAGGCCTACCTGAAGTTGTACCAGAGCTGAAGAGCCACAGCCTCCTTCCTCTGGAGACACTCACCTGTACCACCAGGTTTAATAAATCAAATATTTTAAATGTTTTAAATGAGTTCTGCTCAGCTGTAGCAAAAACAGCTCAATATTCTCAACCCCGTGCTCAGTACAAGTGCAAAACCAGCCCCATTCCAGGCACTTGAGAAGAAAGTTAACTCTAGGATTTGTTTTAAAGTAGTTTGAAGATGTTTTAAGCTATTTTAATATATTTTAAATGTATGGAAGATATTTTTTAAATAAAAATATAAACTAATGAACTGAAATAAAATCAAAATTAAAGTACAGTAAGTTGAAAAAATCCTAATAAACTAAAATAGCAAAATAAAATAATATCCAAATAAAATCTTTTCAAACCCAGGCATTTCCTTCCCAGAGTCTGGAACAGGGCTGTATTTTGGATTTGTGCTGAACTCAAGGTCAATAATATTGGGATATTTTGGTTAATATTGGGGTATTTTGGTTAATATTGGGATATTTTGGTTAACATTGGAATATTTTGGTTAACATTGGGATATTTTGGTTAACACTGGGATATTTTGGTTAATATTGGGATATTTTGGTTAACATTGGGATATTTTGGTTAACATTGAGATATTTTGGTTAATATTGGGATATTTTTTTGGTCGTTGCTGGTCAGGGCTTGCACAGAGCTGAGGCCTTTCCTGCCTTTCCGGGGGGAGAAGTTGGGAAGTTGTGAGGGACACACAAACAGACCCAAAAGATATTCCAGATCATGGTTGAGGTATAAAATGAGGGGGAAAGGGAGGAATTGGGTGATATTTGGACAAGTCACAGGCTCTACTCCATGATTTTCCAGTCATTCCATGATGAATTCCATGCTGAAGGCCTTGGATGAGGCCTTGCTCTCCTGGAGACGCCTGTGGGAAGCAGGGATTAAACTCTTTGTTTTCCTTTGCTTTCCCTATTAAATCATCTCAACCCATCAATTTTCCAGCTTTTCCCCTCACAAATCTCTCCCAAATCCTGCTGGGAAAAAAATAAAAATAAAAATTGAACTTCTCCTTGATCCCACAGGAAAACAAATCTCTCCATGATCCCTTTGGATGGGGAGCAAGCGCCTGAGGGGCTTGAAAACCTTGAAAAAAACCTTGAAAACCACCCCCCCCTCAACTCATCCCCCCTTTTTCCATGGATTTCCTCACTTTTCCCTCAAAATCCAGCCCTTCCTGAGGCAGGCAAGGAGCCAAACAGGCACAGCCAAAGGGCAGCTCCTCCATTTCCTCAGCGCCGGGAATGAGCGTTCCCATTTTCCCCTCAGCTTTTCCTGGCGCTCGCCCCTCGCTTTCCCCTCACATCCAGGCCAGCCCAGGGGGTTCCTCCACAACTTGAGGAAAAATGAGGAATATTGAGGTGGTTTTGGTACCCTCAGAGAGATTTTAATGTCTTTGTGCCCGAAATAACAGCCTGAGGGGAAGGCCTGTCCCAGCCAGGCCTCACCAGGTGCATTTTTGCATTTTGGCTCCTTCCCTGCTGAAACAAAAATATTCTCAATTGCAGAACAACAACAATAAAATGCTTGAAGTGAGAATCTGGCCACAAAAATAACCGTGGCCTGAAACAGAAAGTTCCTGCTGTTGTGGCAGCTGTTTCCCCCTCAGACCTTTGATTTCTGTGTTTCCAAACCCTCCCACACATGGATGTGTCTGATCCCAGTCCCAGAGAGAGTTTGGAGAGACAAAATCCCTCTGGCTGTCATTCCAGCTCCACTCCTCTTCCAATTTTCTGCTTTTTTTTTAACCTGTTTATCTAGCAAATTTCACCTGCAGCCAAATTTTAGCCATAAAACCAAAATTTATTTGTCAGATTCCCACTTTCAGGAGCTCTCCCAGCGCGACTTTTTGAGTCACAACTGTCCCTTTTTGGTCCAAGGTTTTGAAGCAAGATTTGGCTCCTTGGAATTTTTCTTGTCCTAAAAATTGGAGTTTTTACGTTGTTTAAAGCTTTATTTTTGTATTCCTGGCTGATACTGTGGTTCACCTCCACCTAATTCTTTCTAACAAGAAAAAAAAAAGTGATGTGTGAGGCATTTTCCCACTCCTGAAACGTGAAGGACTCTGTTTTGCTCATAGGAGATAAAATTTCTTTTATTATGAACATAAAAACTACAATTTTCATTCCACTTTTTTTTTTTTTTCCCCCTACCCAGCAAGGGATTTTTCTCCTTGCAGAAAGAAAAAAAAAAAAGTTAAAAAAAGATAAAACTTTTTGGATATATACAAACATATACAGGGTGTGTCTGTACATTTGTCATTCTGTACAAGCAAGGCACCAGCAGAAGTGACAGTGGCACACACAGAGGGGGTTTCTGAGATTTAATTTCAGATTTTTTGGCAGGAGATCATTGAAAAAAAAAAAATAACTTGTTTTTATTTTCATCCTCCCTGGGTGATGGGGGGAAGAGGGAGGATTCTTTTAACCGCATGGAGGTGAACTTGGAATTCTTGGGATATTGGATCAAACCACAGGAGCCTTTTCTCTTGGATAATAACCCAGATTTTGCCTAAGAAAACGCTGAAGGAAAATGAAAGCACAGCTCTCCAGAACCAGCCAATAATGACAAAACTGGCATAAAAATAAAGGGAATAAAGGGGTGAAATAAAGCAGAGAAAAAAAAAACAACTTTTGGTGATAAAAGCAGAAATAAAGCAGGGAAAAATCCCAACTTTTGGTGATAAAAATAAAAATAAAGCAGGGAAAAATCCCAACTTTTAGTGATAAAAATAAAAATAAAGCAGGGAAAAATCCCAACTTTTGGTGATAAAAGCACTGCTGCCGTCAGTGCAGCTTTGTTCCATTTTCCAGCTTCCAAAGCAACTGGGGAAGGAGGGAAATCTCCAAGGATTTGAGCTGTGTGGAAAACAATGAACTGCAAAGGAGCCCGAAGCAGCTGTGACAGGAAAATCATCTCAGGGGTGACACCACCACACTTGGAAGGTTTGGAGTCCTCAGCACAGCTGCAAAGTGGGGATGAAATGTCCCTGGAGCTCTGGATTTGCACTTCACTCCGTTACCAGCACACCAAAAACCTTCAGGTTATAAAAGAAAAGGTTTGCTTGCTTTTACCTGCCAAGAATGCAAAAGGAGGGACCTCCCTGGGAGGTTTCTTTGCTAATACACATTCCTAGGATTTAAGGGTTGATGGAAGTTCTTTTTCCAGCCTGCCAGGCACCAACACACCAATGTGTTCTGCTGGGAAGTGGGAACAGGAAAATCCTTGTGTCCTCCAAATCCAAATCCAACCCTGTGTCCCTCAGCTCCTGTGTCCTCCAAATCCAAGCTCTGTGTCCCTCCAAGCCCTGGGTCCCTCAGCTCTTCAGAAAATAAATCCTCCCCAGAATGGAAACCAAAGTCCCCCAGACAATTCCCAGGCAGTTTTCCTGGAGCGCTGCAGTGAGCAGAGGGAAGAGGGAGCACGGGAAGGCAGGGTGGGAGCAGAGTTCACCATGCAGAGAGCTCCTTCCTCAGCTGGACTGCCTCTCCTGACCCCTGTGCGTTTCTCGGAGCAGCCAAAGGAATTTCAGGTCCCCCCTCACTTCTTCCTGCGGATTTTGGGTTTCTTCACGGGCCGCAGGTAGGGATTGTCGATCATGTTCTCCTCCCCGTTCCTGCTGCCTGCCAGGGAGCTGTTCTGCTGCAGCACTGAGGTGTTCTCCTTCTCAGGTCCTGCATCGTCCTGGCACAGCCAAAAACAACAAGAAAAAAACTAAAGTCAGGCTTAGAAATCCTTCTGCCCACAGAATCCGTGGCTGCTCCATCCCTGGAAGTGTCTGAGGCCGGGCTGGAACAACCTGGGATAGAGGAAGGTGTCCTGGCCCATGGGACAAGATTTTTATGGTCCCTCCCACCCCAAATCATTCCAGGATTCCGAGTTCAAACCCCAGAACCTGTGGGCAGGAGGGATAATCAGCAGCCTAGAACACAAGGAGCTGCACTGAAGGCCAGGCCTTCTGGTTTCTAAAACAGGAAAATCCCTTGGGAAACTGTGGGATCCAAGGAGAAGCCTCTTCCCTGCCACTGAAATTCAGGATTTACTGAAAGCTCCCGCTCCAGCCTCGTTCTGCACTGAACTCTGCGGGGAGCTGAAGAAGCAGGACAATGTTCAGCTCCATTTCCCATTTCCCAGGAGGCAGAGGCAGCATTCCAAGCTGCAGGAATGGCCCCCAGGAGCCCCCCAGGGTGGCCCTACCGTGCTCATGTGCAGCGGGAGGTTCTCGGTGTCCGTCTGCTCATCCTGCTCCGAGGAATCCGTCTCCTCCATCTGCTGCATTTCCAGCTCGGAGGGGAGCAGAGCTGTCAGGTAGGGCACGGTGAAAGGCCTGGCAGCAATCACTGGGATCAGGGAAAAGAGGAGACACAGTCAGGAAGCTGGGAGAAATCCCTTCCCTCAGAAATTAAGGACAAAGTTACAGAGATCAAACAATTCGCTGGTTCTGGGTTTGGACGTGTTTCCTGCTGTTCCCAAGGATCAGGAAGGAAATCCTGACCCCTCAAAGATCTCTACTTCCCAATTTTCTGAATCTCTTTATGTTTCCAGCTAAGGACACAGCAATGCTCCAACACAGAAATTCCTTCCTGAGCTCCACCACAAAATCCCAATTATCTGGGAAGTTGAGTTCCTCTTAAATGAAGCTGTGCTGCCAGCGAGCCTTGGGAAAGTGGGAATTCTCATCACACAGAGAGACAGGAAAATTTCCAGCAGCAGGAAAATGTCAGGGAGAAGAAATTCCTTGGTGAGGTCACGGGGGTGGAGCCAGCATTGGGATGAGATTTGTATTTAGGCTTTCTCCATCAGGAGAAAAAAAAGGAGCCTTGGGGAGTTGGGGAGCTGCTTTCTGCTTTTCCTCCCCATTTTAGCTCCCCAAACCCTAAAGGGATCCAAAATGAAAATCACTGACGTGGGAATGTGCTGACATCATCCTTGAAGAGGCTCTGGGTCTCTCCTGTCTTGGCCATGAAGCGTGTGAGGGCCCTTTCCACGTCCCTCCGCTGGGAAGCCGCCTTTTCCCGCAGCACCTGGTAGTCGGACACCGGCTCCCTGTAGGTCTGGAAGGGAAGGAAAGGGATGGAGCAGCTCCACTTCCAAACTTCACGGGGGTGGAGGAGCTGCAGGCTCTGCTGTTCAGGATCCACAGGTGTCCAGCGGGCAGAAATCCAGGGATTCTGCGCTGGGAGGGACCAGGGATCCCAAACTGGGAATGCTCTGGATGCAGGTAATGGGATAGGGCAGGGAGTGGATAATGGGAAGGACCAGGGATCCTGAACTGGGAATGCTCTGGATGCAGGTAATGGGATAGGGCAGGGAGTGGATAATGGGAGGGACCAGGGATCCTGAACTGGGAAGAGTCTGGGAGCAGGTAATGGGAAGGATCCCATCCCAATGGATGTCCATAATCCACAAACAAGGAATATTCAAAGCCAGGAAAAACAATAATTTGGATAAATAGTTGGATAAATAGCACCAGCACTGCAGTAAAGAAACACCACTCCTGGACTTCAAACAGATCCCAACCAGCACAAAAATCAGACGGAAATCTAGGGATTCTGGCTGATTTCTGAATGGCAAGGGATGTCCACAATCCACAAAGAAGGAAAGCATTAAGCAAGGAGGAATATTTTGGATAAATGGCAGCAGCACTGCAGTAAAACCATCCCACTCCTGGAATTCAAACAGATCCCAAACAGAATAAAAATGTTTTCACTCACTGGGGTCTTGATGTACGTGTGAGGATCTGGGAACTCCGGGAAATGGCCGGGAATGTGGGGTGGATGGGGCTTGTTCTGCCCAGCTGTCAGGGCTTTGGGGGTCACAGGTTGGTTTGTCACCGGAGCTGTAGTGGGAAAATGTGGGAATCAGGGAAAACGCGGGAATCCTCCTGCCCAGAATCCCCCCAAAGCTGTGACCCCCTCCCTGACCCCATCCAAGGCACAGAGCACATCCCATGACCTTGGGATTGGCATCCCAGAGGGGAAAAGGATCCTTTGACCCCCCTGTCCTGCAAACAAAACCACCCTGAGGCTTCTCCCAAGTGACCGAGGTCCCTTCACCTCCGGTGGTGCCACTACAGGAGCCCCCAGTTCCTGGAATTCCTGGGATTATCCCACAGAAAGCTCATCAGGAGCTCTCTGAAAGGCAGCAGAGAGGAATTCCAGGTGACTCCCAGCTCCCAGCACAGCAGGAGAGGCTCCCCACGTACGGGCAGTGATCACCATCCTCTGGGAACGCTTGGCATAGGCAGGAAGAGTTTCCACGTTGAATCCTGGAACACAAAGGAGGAGAACAGGAATCACTCCAGGAGTTCATCCTGTCAAAATTCCCCTCTCTCCAGAATTTTTCCAGGTAAAACAAGAATGGGATGGGCCAGGGATTCTGAACTGGGAAGGGTTTGGGAGCACATAATGGGAAGGATCATGGAAAACCATGAGCTGTGCGTGCCCACAGCAGCGGGCACCGCCCAAATCCCAGATTTTGGGGGCAGATTTCCCAATCCAAAGGTGGAAAGAGTGGGAAGAGAGAGCTGCTGACCCATTTCCACGAGGGTCACCACGATGTCCGAGAGCGTGGGCTGGGTCCTGGCCGTGTGCTCGCAGTAGGACTTGGCACTCCTCCCAATTTCCGAAATATCTGCGGGATAAAACCACCACGGATTTCATTCTCACATTGGCCACGGCTCTGTCAGATACAGGGATGGGAATTTTCAACAAATTTATCAAGGAATGAAAAACAGCCCCTGGAATGGAGCATTTTGCAGGATGTGGGGTTTAAAATTAAAGCGTGGGGATGCCAAGGAGTAAAGAATCAGCGTTTGCCACTGAGGCAAAAGGCAAATCCACATCTAAAACATGAAAAAAAAGCCCAGAAATTATAATTTCTTGCTTTTAAAACAATCTGGAAGTGAGGTTTTCATCAACACCCACAGGGGAAGGAGCAGAGCTGCTCCAAGAGGGACTTCATGAAGGAAATATATGGAATTTTGTTGTTTCTCTGGAATTTTGTTGTTTCTCTGGAATTTTGTTGTTTCTCTGGAATTTCGTTGTTTCTCTTTATTCCAATATTTTTTTATTCCAATTCTTTATTCCAGCAATATGTGGAGCTCCTGGGAGCACCTAATGAGTAACCACTGAGTTAAAAAAAAATAAGGATTTCTGAGCTGGGATAAACGCACAGAAATCAGCGCTGTGCTCCAGCCACCAACCTCTTCCTTTTAACACTGCCCTTAACAACAAAACCGGGATCAAACCCCTCTGGAATGGGGAGGGAATCCCTGGATGAGCCCTCAGGGGCACTCACAGCTCTGGATCATCTCGGTGAGCGTCTCCACCGCGGCTTTCTCGGCGCTCTCGAAGCCGGCCTCGGTCAGCAGCGAGCTGACCACCACCTGCAGCGTCCGGCGCCGGGCCAGGTGGTAATTGTCCGCAGGGGTGCCCGCCTGCTTGCTGCCCGCCCGCTGGAATTCCGGGAATGGGGCGTTAGGAGACGGGGAGAGGCGTGTTTGTACCGCCAGGAGAGGTGAGCGAGCAGGGCCGGCCCCAGAGCGGCTGGAAGGGACACGGGAGAGGGATGGGATGGGATCCATGGGATGGGATGGGATGGGATGGGATGGGATCCATGGGATGGGATCCATGGGATGGGATCCATGGGATGGAATGGGATGGGATCCATGGGATGGAATGGGATGGGATCCATGGGATGGGATGGGATGGGATCCATGGGATGGGATGGGAT